TATGATGACGTAATTACGTATTTACATTTCATATTACATTTTGATAAAACAATTACCATAACATGTATATTTATATTATTTGTTAATTTTTGAATTAATTTTTTTTTTTATGTAAAAATATACATTTCTTTGTATTTATTTTTTGATTCATAAATAAAAAAATATGCAATAAACAAATTTCTGTTTTATTAAAATAAATTTTTTTATTTAAAATTATTTATTATTGTGAACTAAAGGTTATTACGCAATTATAATAAGTAAAATTGTAAGATTGAAATACATAAAAAATTTATTTACATAAAAAAAAAATACTATTCTGAATCCTGATCAGGTTTATTATCATTTTCTAAAGCAAGTGTATTAGATGCAAAATCAGCTAATTTTTTTGATTTTTTGTTGTAGGTTCACACAGTTAATCGAGTTTTACATTTGTTAGATACAGGTGTAAGTTATTGAGATTGAATTACACTTGATGTAAAAGTAGGAGAAATGGAAAGTTCATCATCAATAACTTCTATTATTGATATTGAATTAGGAGATTTATTACATGTATTTTGTTGGGTTGTATTTGATGATGTCAAGGTAGAAATTTGTTAAAATTTTTAAAACTGACGTGTTTTTACATTTTTTGATTAAGTCAGTAGTGATTGAGTATTTTTATATATTGCTTGAGCAGTTGATAAAGTGGTAGTTTATGCTGATAATGAAGTTTTTAAAGAATTTGACTAAGGCATTTGTTTAGTGAAGGTTGTTAAAATAGAAGATTGTTGACTGCATAAAAAGTTAAAATTATGTAATTCTATATATAACTTTTTTTCTATAAAAGTTAATGCATCAGAAAAAAAATATTAAGGATTCATATCTTATAGTAGTAGTTTAGTTGGTAAATTGACTTCCATTTGGATCGAACATTGTAACTGCAATTTCAGTCAATTTATCTTTTGATAGATAATTAGTGATAATGCAATCAAATTGAACTTCAATTTCAATAATAACTGCAAATTCAGAAGCTAAGGTTACACCTATTACAATTATTTGATAAATTGGTAAATTTTTAGGAGAAATATCTAAAATAATTGTCACATTTAGTATTAACTATATTTATTTATGAAAAATGAAAATGAACTTATATTAATATTTATTTTGTATAATTTTTTTTTATATAAAATACATACATAAATTTCACTATTGTTAGTTTCTTTAGCAAACTTTGAATTTGCAATTGACAAAACTTGACCTTCTTTTAACCTTAGAACATAGCAGGATTTTGATTCATCAATTGGATAAAATACAGTAATTAAGAAAGTTTGTATTGAATCACTTTTTTCAAGTCTTATATGACCAAATAGCGTTTCTTACAAAAAAGCCAGTAGAAATTTTTCTTTGTATTCTGAAATGTATAAAATCGTTAAAAGTTAGACAGGTATTATTATATATTATTATTAAAGAAAATTATAATTTTTTTTATTTTCACGTTGTTACGTCTGATTTGTAACTCAAATAAAATTCACAAAAATTAATAATGCTAAGACTAAATTCAGGGAATCACAATGAAGATTCGTAGTAAACGTCAAAGATTATTCTCAATTACACACGAGTAACTTCTAAATATTTCAGAGATTATGTTTTAGTAACTACGCCTTAAGTTAATACAACGAATCAATACAATACCACGTAAAGTTAATGAACAATAATAATATATATACAGGTTAAAAGGATTGCGAAGGATAAGTTTTAACTTGGTTAATTATACGCTTTATTAATAATGTAATAAATTGTAAGTTCTCTACCTCGTAAGGTCATAAGGTAATAATTTCATCTAGTAAAATATTATTCTTACTCCTTCTTAAAGTATGTATTAATTGATAGATTTATTCATTGGAATCATTTCTCGATAAAAATACAAAGGTATTTATACATATTTGATAATTATAAAATAAACTAAACTAAATATATCTATGAAAAATAAATGATATCATCAAGGAAATAAGTTGATAAAATTGATCAGCAAGGATGATCATGTTAATAAAATTACCCATTACACTGAAAATAAAATTGACATCTGGATCTACAATGTTTCACATTGATTATCACTGGAAATAAAATTGATATCAGGATTGATGAGATGATAAACAAGGAAATTTAATTGACATTGGATTTGTAATCAGATTTTAGTCAAAATTTTACACTGTTATAACATATAATTTGATTATATATGTTATTTGTATAAAATTTTAAAATTTATTATTTTTTTTTAAGGAGACTTAAATTTTTTCTTTTTTTATAATAAAAAAAATTTATTTTTTTTATAATCATAAAAGAATCTATTTTTTTATTTAGTATGTGAATAATTTTTTTAACTCATTTTTTATTTAAACAAAATAAAATAAATGTAAATTACAGGATTTAATGTCTTATTTTGAAAAATAAATCAAAAAAAGAAAAAATATGAGGTATAGAATTTAAAAATAAACTAGAACATTAAATATTACGAAAGATCGTAATGTAAAATTAAAACAAAAAATTAGTAAAATGTTGTATCTTTTTTTATAAAAACATCATTTTTATAAAGAAGCTAATTAATATTTCTTGTAATCATAAGTTATTTTTAATTGAATATTATATTTTTTATCTTTATATTTACTGAAAAATATTATAAAAAATAATATTCATTGAAATTTTTTTTTACGAAATTATTTTCTTAACATAAACATAAACAAAACAAAATAAAACAAAAATCAAATAAAGAAAAATATAAGATCAAATGTATTACAAATAAAAAATATCAAATTTGAAACAAAATATTTAATTACAAATTACAAATTACAAATATAATTTATTCATTTTATTTCAAAAAAAAAGAAAGAAAAAATAAGGTTAAAATTTAAAAAGAATTAGATTCACCTCAAGAAAAAAATAAACTATAGTTCATTTATTTTATTTTCAAAAAAAGAAACAAACAATGAGATTAAAGATTAAAGAGTATTAGTTCTATCTCAAAAAAAAATATGAAAAAATGTAACAAAAAAACAAAAGATCAACAAAAGATCAACAAAATCAAATTTTTGAGAAATATCTTTTACATGATCAAATTTAACATATTAAAAAAGTGTCTCAGGAAAGCTTAAAATGCGAATTTATTTTAATGATAACATAAAAGTATTTAGCAATAGCAATAGCAGTAACTATAGCAGTAGCTAATATATAACTATATAGCTGCTTTATAAAATTGAAAATCAATGTTCAAGTTGTGTATTATCAAAAACAATAAAAATCATATAGAACGTTTGAAGATCAGTATAACCAAAATACAAAATCAAGTGAAAAAGTTGATTTTTCAGGAAATGATCATTGATAAATTACAATGTCAATCTCTCTCCTTCGCCAAATAAATTGAATAAAAAAAAAATTATTTAAAAAATTTTAAAAAAATTTTAAAAAGGATATTTTAATACTATCTTTATTATAAGTTAAATAATTTTATATAAATAAAATATCTTAATTTAAATTGAATTAGTTAAAAGAATTTTTAAATTTTTATTATTTGTTTTAAAATGTTTATAATAATATAATCAAATTTTTATTATATTATTTTTAAAAGAGTTATTAATTATTTTTTAATAATAATATATCAATTTTACTTTAATTTTAAATTATATAATTATTTAAAAATATATGGGAGGTTTGCTAGGAAAATGGGGCTCTGAGAATTTTTTATTAAAATTTTAATTTTTATTGCATTTTAATTTTTGATAATGTTAGATTAAAATGCAATAAATCTTAAAATTTTAATAAAAAATGCTCAGAGCCCCATTTTCCTAGCAAACCTCCCATATTAATTATTTTTTTAATAATACTATATCAATTTTATATTTATTTACGTTAAATTGATGTTTATTTTAATATTAAATTTCTTGTAAAAGGATAATTTTTTTAAATAAGAAACTTTTATAATTTATCATTTTTTAACTTATTATCTTCTCCTTAAAGTTCACTTTCTATTCATAGTTCATTGTAGTATAATTTTATTTGACAAAATTTATTCGCAGTTTATTAATAATTTTAATCAGTTTTATCTTACTTCTTTCCTGTTTTTATTACTTAAACCTTTTATTTTTTAACTTTATCTTATCCCATTCCTTCTTTTATAAATCATTACTTTCCTTTCTAGTAAATCTTTTAAATGTTCAAGTCAACTTCAAGTTTGTTTAATTTCTAAATTTTGTATTCATTTTAACTAATTTTGAATAACTTTAACTTTTTTAATATGTTAATTAGTCCTTAATTGAAAAATCTTTTTCACGTCGGATAAAACCAATATCGATCTAATCTTCTGCATACAATGTCCTTGGTATTCTGATCATAGCCAAATGCCTCTCATATATTTTCGATATAAGACGTGAAAAAAAAATGTTTAATGAGAGCATAACGGTTCACTCCGACGATTAGAGGTAAAATCGGCTAATTCTGGTCTAAATTCTGTAAGATGCGATCATTGTTTTAACATTTTACAAAGTAAATTGTGAAGGGTCACACTACAGATAGGTTTATGGACACTTTGTTTAATTATCACAAAATAATCATGCTCTTGCGCAGATCTCCTTTTTGAACAATAACATGCGAGAATGTGGCTAATATTATAAATCTAATTGTTATAACGTCGTTTTTTTTTCATGCGGATCATTTCAAAACCAACTGCGCCTAAAGTTATTGTTCACCAGAATGGTAAGAATGACAGCTTTTTATGCAGTGTTCAGCAAATAGTGATGTTGCATTTATTTCAATGCAACTGTTTTTAGGCTTAAAAAATAGACATACGTGTAACAACATCGAATGTATATTAATAATGAGGGAATTAATTTAATTTTTTTTTTTTTGGAGTGCATTTCTTGTTATCAAGGAAATACACGACATATATTTTTCCTGCTAGTCTAGAAAGTTATTTTTTTCAAGATAATTTCTTATAGAAAAATACATTTCTTGTGTGACAGTTTGATAATATGACTAGAAAGGGAAAACAAAATTCCGCTTCTAATCGTGGTGGTAATGCACGTAATAATGCAAGTGGAAGTGGAAGTAGAGGTGGTAACGGTAACCGTGCAAGAGGAGCGAACTCAAGTCATAGAGGACGCGTAGGACGTGATCGTGGTAATAATAATAATGATCGTCGCCGCGATGATGTTCAAAGAACAACACCAACACCACTTAGTGTTCCGGAAATAAAGCAAGCGCAACAAGAAACGTCTATGGCAAATTTTAGTTCTTCCGAATTATCATATAATGGTAGCGATCGAATAATTTCAATTACTAACGGTGAGATAATTAGAACCATATGGAAAAAAATTTTACGAAAAGAAAATGATTGGGAACAAAGGGATGCTAGAATTTTCATTAGTTCTGCGCTAGTAGCGACGGATCATCAATCGGGTTATGAGGTTGAAGAATTCGTGACCGATTTAGGTAATCCTGAAAGAGGCCTTAACAGGTTAAGGGATATTATAAACTTTCCCTCAATGTCATGTGATGCGGGACTTAATCCCAGGATTTACTCATTTCAACATGTTATCTTACCTTTATTGGGATTGCTGACCAGAACTGCTATTACCGAATGTATTTTGGAAAAATACGTTCATGCCATCTATATGGTTGTATACAATAGTCTGGTAAGTATTATTAAATATCGGGGCAAATGATTGGGCCGTTTGTTCCTTCTACATTCCTTCATTTCTTTTTTTTAAAAAAATAAATAAATAAATAAATTATTGAAAATTTATAGGATTCTTTCCTTGTTAATAATGTAATGAAAATGTTGGATACGTTGGTTCAACGTAATTCTTTTGCAGATTATCAAGTTAGCGCGGACGAATTATTGAAAAGGGAACGATATGCATTTATTCCATCTTCGTAAGCGCTAAATTTTTGACGAACTTTGATTTACTAGACGCATATCATATCATCTAATGTACTTTTAAATTTTTATCAGTCTAGGAATATTTTTCTTGGTAATAGTACGACTTCTCACAGAGATCTTACGTCGTATCAAAGAAGCATCTATCAATGAAACAATGCACAAAATTGCTGACGATTTACAAAAATTAAAGACTCAATATCAAAATTCCATTCAACAACAACCATTTTCTACCGATTCAACGGACCCGTTAGTCAAAAGTTTGGAATCTAGGAAGTATTTCTTCGTGATATTAGAAAAGGAAATGAATAATATGTACAAATTGTTAAATAACGGACGTATTAGATTAATTGATGGACAAGATCCAAATAAGAAAGGATTGGTTTCAAGATTGACTTCAATAAATCATTATAAAGATTTATCCAGAAAAGTGGATGCGGAAAGACTTTACGATCCTCCCGGTGAATTATCAAGCTCTGGTAAAAGACATGATAATGATTTCGAAGAAATTTCGAAAATCTCGGTAATTCCTACAAAAGAAGAAATATTATGCGAGAGGATGCCTTTTTTACCTTTTACTATTCATGATGCTCCCCATTTTTTACCTGATGGAATGGCTAAACTACTTGATATACAATTTCGTTTGTTAAGAGAAGACATGTTAAACCCTATTCGTGGAAGTATATCGAGTTTAATGGCTTTATTAGCACAGAATTTGAACTCCTCTTCTAACAACAACAAATTTTCCAAAGAATTAAAGAAATTACAACATGAGTATGCAGATTTACAAGTATATACTGACATCAAATTGGTAGATGTTTCCTGTGATAGAAGAAAAGGATTTGCTTGTACTATAAGATTTACCCCTCCAAGAATGCGCGGTGCAAAAACTGAAAGAAATAGGAGAGAATATTGGGAACGAAGTAAAAAATTATTAAATGGTAGTTTAATTACTTTATTGTTACCTAACCAATATGCAAAACAGCAGACTAATGATAATACAAGTGAAAGCATTTCTACCAATAGCACTAAAATGTATTCACCTTATTTTGGAGTGGTGGTATCAAGAAATGAAAAGGCTTTAGCTAAAAATCCTAATTATGCTGATATTGATATTAATTTTACTGATCTATCAATTTATCCTATTGCGTTAAATGAAATGTCAAATTCTGCAAAAGTCTCTACAGAAAATAGATTTATGGTTGAATCAACTGGAGTGTACTTAGAAGCATACTATCATGTACTTAAAACTATTCAAACTACAAATCCTTCTTCCCTTCCCTTTGAAAAGTATCTTACACCTAATTTTGATGATATTAATGATGGGAAAGGGAAAGGTAATAATACTGCTATAGATGTTGAAGTTGAACCTCCACTATATACTAGAGCACCTAGATTTGAATTCGATTTATCAGTTATATGTAAAGATAAAAATCAAGATTTGAAATTAAATGTTGCCGATAAAGACAAATATGATGAAATAGCAAATAAAATTAATGAACGTTGCAAATTAGATTTGACTCAAGGTATACAGTAAGCATTTGAGTTTGATTAAAAAAAAATACTTATTAACATATGTATATTAATTTTTATTTTAGCGGAAGCATTAATCTCTGCTTTAACACGTGAAATTGCTTTAATTGAAGGACCACCTGGTACCGGAAAAACTGTCGTTGGTATCGAGATAATGAAAGTATTGTTGGCCAAAGAAAACCGAAAAATAAAAATAGGTCCTATTCTCACCATTTGTTTTACTAATCATGCTCTTGACCAATTCTTGGAGGTATAGTACAATGAACTATCCTTATTTTATTGAATCTGAAAATTTCCATATCTCTTTTTACATTTAATTCATACATTACTAACTCTCGCCCTTATGCACTCACAGCATTTGCTCGATGCAAATATAACGAATATAGTCAGGTTAGGATCTCGAACAAAATCCGATAAGATCAAAGAATTTTGTCTTGAAGAAGTATGCAGAAACCGCGCCCGTAACAGAACAGAATCACGTTTAATAGCACAATTACATGAATCTTTAGAAAATATTGAGGATAAAGTTAATAGAATCAAAAGTACTTTATTCAAAAAAGGGTTGAAATGGGGCGATATACGAGAATATATGATGCTCGAAGAAAGAAAATTCTATGATGTTTTTTGTAAAGTAAAGGATAGTGACTTACCTAGTTGGGTTTTCAATACTGAAGAAGGTTTTATGAGTGATTTTAAATCTGCTAGAAAAAACCAGAAGAAATTACATTTATTTGATAGATGGTCAAAAGGAGAAGATATTGAAATAATTAGAAGAACACAGAAAGCGTTATTAAATCCACCACCGAAAAATAAGAAAAATAAAAAAGATCCAAACAAGAATACATATGATGCATTAAAGATTGAAGATGAAAGTGAAGAAGAAACCTTTAGTGACGATAACAAATCACAAACCGATTATGAAACTTTACAATGGATAAAAGATTATGTAGAACCAAAAACATTCCGCCCCTTAGAAGCATTATTAAGTTCCTCTTCAGTTTGGCAAATGTCAAGAGTAGAAAGAAGAATATTGACTGATTATTGGTGTACCAAAATTCGAGGAGAACTTATAGAAGAATTATCAAGTTTACAAAAAAGTCATGATGATAAACGTCAGGAAATGAATGAAATTTATGACGAAGGCCGTCGTCGAATATTATTAGCTAGTGATGTTATTGGTATGACCACAAATGGCGCAGCCAAATTTCAAGCTTTAATTAGGTCTATTGGTCCCAGAATTATTGTTTGTGAAGAGGCTGGAGAAGTACTTGAGGCTCATATTCTTAGCGCACTCACCCCTTCAACGCAACATATAATACTGATTGGAGATCCACATCAACTTCGACCGAATATTGCTACCTATTCTCTTAATATGGATTCAACCTTGGGAAAAAATTATCAATTGAATAAATCATTATTTGAAAGATTAGTCGAAGGTGATAATTCAGCCAAAATTGGCAAAGTTCAACTATTAACTCAGAGGCGAATGAGAAAAGAAATTTCTGATTTAGTTAGACGTACTCTTTATCCAAAGTTAATCGATGGTGAAAATACTGCCAAATATCCAAATGTACGTGGTGCTCAATATAATGTATATTTTATTAATCATAGACACCCAGAAGACTCTGGCGGTGATTTTGCAATGCAATCTCATGTGAATAAATACGAGGTGGAAATGGTAGTGGAAATGGTAAAATATTTCATTCGGAATGGATATACTAAATCCGAAGATATAGCGGTGCTTACTCCATATTTGGGGCAAATGATTAAAATCAGAGATGCTTTATCTAAATCATTTGTTGTAGTCATTGATGAGAGAGACGCACAAAAACTTGAAGAAATAGAAGAAAAAGAAGATGGATATGATGAAAATGACAATAGGGAAGGAAAAGATAATACTATTGGAAGCATAAGTGTTGCTTCAAAAAAATCATTGCAACAGCAGATAACTTTAAGAACTGTTGACAATTTCCAAGGTGAAGAAGCAACCATAGTTATTATTTCGTTAGTTCGCAATTACTCCGGATCTGGTAAACGTGATACTATTGGATTCCTAAGAAGTAAAAATAGGAGCAATGTTCTATTGTCACGTGCAAGACAAGGAATGTATCTCCTTGGTAATTCTGAATTAATGGCGTCGGAATCTAAAGATATGTGGGCTCCTGTGATTAAAATATTAGATGAGCGAAATCAAATTGGTGACGGTATGCCAATCGTATGTAATCAACATCCTGATTACAAGCACGTGATTGATGAAGCCGAACAGTTTATACAAGTTAGTCCAGATGGTGGATGTTATGAGGTAAGTTTCCGTATTGCGCATTTATGAAGAACATTAAATTGGTTCTCATCTTTTTTTTTATTTTCAGCCATGTAGATCGTCTCTTCTTTGTGGACACACGTGTATTTATAAGTGTCATTCGGATAATGCTGATCACATTGGAATTAAATGCCCTAAGAATTGTACAAGATTATATCAACCATGTGCTCATCCATGTCCAAAACTTTGTTTTGAAGATTGTGGAAAATGTGAATTTTCTATAGGGGACATTATATTGCCTAAATGTGGTCACATATTAGTAAATGCAAAATGTTGGCAAAATCAAGAAAAAGACACCTTCCAATGTTTAACTATGGTCGAAAAGCAATTAATTTATTGTGAGCATTCAAAAGTAGTTCATGTAAGTAAATAATTTATAAACTTGATCTTTATTTTTTTATGGATAATAATTTTTTATTGATTTTTTATTTACGGTATTAGTGTTTTGAGTCCATTGATAATGCTATTTGTTATAAAAAATGTGGAAATATGTTGGGATGTAATCATGAATGCTTAACGGAATGTTACAGATGTCAAAAACTTTCAAAACCAAAAGATGAAACACAAAATGAATCAAATGAAGAAACAAATAAAATCATCCGAGAAACTCATGGAGAATGCGAACCACAAAACGAAACAAATGAAGAAACAAATAAAATCACCCGAACGATCCATGGAAAATGTAAACATATTTGTAAAAGATTATTATTTTGTGGACATATATGTAATCAATATTGTCATGAAGGGAAAGTGTGCCCACCATGTAATAACAAGTGTACTGTATCATGCATGCATGCATCATGTTCTTTTGGTTGTTTAGAACCTTGCGCCGTATGTGCAGAGAAATGCTTATGGGAATGTGAGCATCAAGGAAGATGTGAATTAAGTTGTGGAGCTCCTTGTCATAGATTACCTTGTAATGAAAGGTGTAATAAACAATTGAAATGTGGACATTTATGTGCTGGAGTTTGTGGAGAATATTGTCCTCCAGAATACTTTTGCATTATTTGTGCTCATGAAAATGTTAGAAGTCAAGGTATGTCTCATCATTTTATTTTTATTGTCACTAATAATAATTTTTTATCATAAAGAATTTATCTCAATTATTTTTTAAAAACTTCCATTTTTAAAAACAGTGCCAGACGTAATTATGAATGCTACATTTAATGAGATAGATTGGGATGAGGAAAGGATGATTGTCCTTTCTTGTGGTCACGTATTTACAATGGAAACCATGGATATGCACATGGAAATGGACAAATACTATGAAGGTTCAGTTGAAGAGGGATGGAAATCAATCAAATCCCTTTCCTCAGCTTCATTAACAGATGCAAAAACATGCCCAACATGTCGAACACCAATTAAATATATTAGGAGATATGGAAGAATTATTAATAAATGCGTCTTAGACACACAAAACAAAAAATTCCTAACAAAATATGATAGCGAATTACAAGAAATCACCAAACAAATGATATTAATTGAGCAACAAATTAAAAATAAGAGAATTAAATTAAAAAATAGTTTAAACAAAATACCTCATTATGATCCAAGACCTAGAGATGTCGTATTTAAAGAAATTAACGCTATAAATTATGAACTACCTGAAATTATTCCTTGTGAATATTTCGAAAATATTGAAACTTACCATGGATTTGACAATAAATGTAATCGAGTTTGGCTTGCTCATGTTGCAAGATTGTTAAAACATTATAGGATATTAACCACAATTCTTTGTGCCACAAAAATACCACCTCATAAAAAGGCTTTTGAAGCCGCTGTCTCTAGTTTGTAAGTATAATTAACGGTTTTGTTTATAAATTTGTTTTTATTTTTATTTAATTAGATTTTTTTTCTTTTCTTTTTAAGATACCAAGCTAAATTGGCAAGAGAAGAAGCTGAAAGAGATTTAATTTCTCAACTATCAAATCTTAACATTTCGGATGACCTTACAAATGTTTATACTCCTCATGAATCAAATTCTTCACCTGGCAAAGTTTTACAAGAAACATTTTCTCAAATAGGAATTTCAATACCACAAGTAGATCATAGAATTTATTTAGATGCACTTTTTGAATTGATCAATATACAAAAAATTCTATTCCACGAAGTTTCATTTATAATTCAAGAAGTTTCTAAATTATTAAACGTTACAAACCAAGAACATGTAAACATTAATGAAGTTTGGAAAAAATTTGCCGAAAGGTTACAACTTTCTATTAAAAAACATCTAAATGTTATTAAGGAAGTAGCAGAATCTACTCATTATGGTAGACATTTACTTTTAACCAATGTAGAAATATTAGAATTGGATCTTAAAATAATTCAATATCAATTCAGATATCCACCTAATGGAAGTAGTATTGTTGATAAAACGCTTCGAGATAATATTATAGAAAACTGTAAAAAAATTGTGGGAGGTGTTTCGAATATACTTACAAGTGAAGGATACAAAGTTGCTGAAGAAACATTTAAAAAAGGAATTCATGAGAGATTAAACAACTTATTGAAAAGCTGCAATGACGTAAAAACTTGTGCTGAGAATCTGGGAAAACCTTTAAGCGATGAAGAAACGTTAGAAATTCATCGTGCAATGAAGACCGAATTTAAACGATCAGGTATTTTAAAAAATAATCAACGTTTGAATGCTCCGAGTAACTTTATTTTAAATAACTTCATTCCATGTTTATTAGGACATTGGTTTGAATGCCCAAACGGTCACCCGGTAAATAATTTAACATATATTTATAATTGAATTTTATTTTCTAGTTATTTTTACAAATCTTTTTTTTATTTTTTAGTATACTATTGGGGAATGTAGTGGAGCGATGGAGATGAGTAGATGTCCAGATTGTAATGTAGCCATTGGTGGAGGAAGCCATCAATTAACTACCGGAAATAGAGTAAATGAATATTTTGGTAAATTGTAATCTTTCCATCATAGGAAATATTTATTTCATATCATAAATTCTCTGTTTTTACGCATTTTTATATTTTTTTCCTTCTATAAAAAATAATATATATGTAAATTTCACTTTATTGTGTTCAGATTTTGATTTATTAAAAAATAACTTATTTGAACTACTCTTGCATTAGATTTTAAAAATAATAAATCTTAAATATTATTTTACGTTAGAAGTCATAGTTTTGTCATGCTTATTAAAAGTATGGATTAATTAAATATTCCACGTATCATATTTAAAAAAAAGTCTTTTTTTTTGCATAAATACATGACTCTTTATAAAGATTAATGCTGCAACAATGTGGTCATTAAAATTTAATACCAAATTTGCAAAATTAATCATTGCAGAATTTGTCTTAGACAAATTCAATTTCAACATCATTTACACGACAATCCACTCATCAATTGAAACTTATCAAATCCTCCATCAAAGAATTCCAGTTTTTTAGAAGCTCTTTTAAATAATTTACAGCATTTGAACATTAATTTCACTCAGCCGACAAATGACTTATTCCGGAATTGTTGCAAAATGGAACACGTGAAATAACCGTGATGAACTCATTATAAACTAATCAATATATAAAGTTTCAAAAATAGACACTTGAAAAAGCGAACATAAGTTAACAATTAAAAATTTATTTTAATTAAAATATTGCTTTAATACCGAAAATATTACAAGTCATATTTTATATTATTTTGGAGGAGGATTACCGTAGGATCTCTTTCTATAAAAAGACGACTTCAATTTTATTGTAAATCGGATTGCCTTTTCATTTCGTCAAAAAATTCCTTAGTTAAATTTAGACATTAGTATAAATCAAATACGTTATTATGTATATTCACAATATCTTGCTAATTCGGACAAAAGCACATATACATAGTAAATTTTTTTTTTGTTAAATCCCAAAATCCCACTTATCACACCACCCGCTATAATTTATAAAAGTTTACCACTCATAAAGGAAGACTAGACTACATGGTGAATCCGTCTACCTATCCGAAGACATGGTGAAAGAGTCTACCTATAACCATCGTCTTCCTCCACAAGAGGGAGTATAAACACTCACAAACGTGAATGCAAACTGAGGAATAGACAAATGGATTATATTCTTATTTATATTAAAAAATGTAAAAATGTGAAATTGTGGGATCAAAGATCTTCATGATCTTCACTAATTATGGAAATCTATGATCCGTAACGTGATTTTAATACTTTTAATAACCAATGAATAATATATCGCAAATTAGTATTTATTGCAAATTGTGATTTACAAACTTTATTTAAAATGTTTTATTTTGACTGCTAATCTTTGACTAGAACAGTTAATGAAAAATTTCACGTAGTAATTAAATCATTCGTTTTCGACAACGACCAAACCTAAGAATCAGTGACTTGCAAGTTCAAGTTCAAAATCTTCAAAAATTTAGTAATGAAGCTGGAGAAAAAGTTTTTGATGAATTACGCTAATCCCAACATGAACAAATAATTAATTAAAGTGGATTGTTATCTATACAGAACAAATAAAAAATTTGAAAAAGAATTACATTTACTTCATTCGAAATTCTATACATCTTCTTTAAACACACAACCATCACAACCACAACAAATATCTTCACTTTCACAACCATCTCAACCACAACAAATATATTCACCTTCTCAACCATCACTGCCCTGTTTCAAAAGTATAGATAAATACTTTAAATACGAAAAGGAAAAAAAGGAGCAAGGTAAATTTTTTTATTATTATTATTAATTATATTTTTTTTTTTGATAGAATTTTTATTCATTATGTAACTTATATTTAGAAAATAAATTGAAAATTGATTAATTCGAATTATTTGTTATTGAGTTGATTCGTAAATAAATTACAAAACAGAAGAGAAGGCTTAGCAAGATTGTTATCAAAATTTCTATTTTGCTTTATGTATCAAATTTTATTTTTACGATCATTCTGCATTTGCTGGTTTGCTTTATAGTAAACAAATTTATCTTAATTATAAGATTAAAATAAAATGACAAAATTATATCAAAGATCAAATCGAAAATAAATCAAAATAAATCAAAACATTCTAAATAAAATGAACATAATCGGAGTGATTTAAAGTAATCATAACGAAACTAAAGATAAAAAAACTTAATGATATCGATGTTATTCATCCAAGAATAAAAAATTTAAACGAAAGTAAGCATAAAGATTCCAACGAAATTAAAGAAAAAAAGAAAAAATCAATAATTCACAGCTTGCTAGATTCGCAATAAAATTTGGGAATCCACCGTAAATGAAATAGTAGATTATATTTAAGTATCAATGTTGACATTGAAGCATTGAACCAACCAGAAACAAAAAAAGAAATTCAAGATTATAGAAATTCCTGTACCATAATAGATTTTAGATTATTACCGTAATTATTTTACACGTCGCTCGAAAAGAATATACAAATTAACAAGTTTAATTCTTCGCATCAACTAACTGAAGAAATTATTGTGATCCCATTATGCACCTCGTCGAAATCGATGGCAAACCTTTTTAAGCGATATTAAAGCAATTTATTTATTGCTTGCAACCTCTTTGGTTTCTCGGCGGCATATACATTAAAGGTGTTTGTTAGTCACGATCCTCAAATCTCCAAACAAGGGAAAGATTGTAGAAGAAAGAAAACACTTATCTTCAGCATTCCCTACGACATAGAAAATAAGAAGGAATTCGATTTGAAGCTTGATGTGTATCATTAATAGAATCTCTCAAGGTATTAGTATGTATAAAGTTAAAATGTTTTAACACACGTTTTATGCTTTGGAAAAAAACAACAGCAGCAAGTAAATAAAAGGTTGTAAATAAAGTTTGTCACTGAAAACAATTTTTTTTTTATATTTTTGTAATTTATTTATCTTTTTTTACAAGAATCGCGTTTACTATGATAACGTGATTGATTTTCACTTGCGTGTAATTGTAGCTTTTGGCCGAATTCAATTTTGGCTCGAATTATTACGAACCACCCATCAAAGTATTTATTGACTGTATCATTTTCTTGTAATATTACTGAATAAATTAAAATCTAAATGATTCTCGGAAATTTTAATAATAGATGCTGAAATACCGATTTTTTTTTTTCGTAAAAATTTTAAATACAGTTGACGAAATTTTAATATTCTTTCTGAGAAGATCTCATTTTTACTTCGCGATAATCTTGATAGGACTTGATAATTTTATGGTGCTCGGAATATCATCTATAAATAAATAAAATTAAGTTTTTTATTTTTAAAGAATTTCCATAATACAAATAAAAATATATTACATATTACTACAAAACAATATTCATTCTAAACTATAGTCTTCACTTTATATCCTCATCAACATTTAAACACTATTATCACATTCGTTTAAAAATATCAGCAGCGCTAACAATTGTCTATTGCTCAATTCTACTTTAGAATTTTTGCACTTCAGTCTAACTTAAACTCTCATTTTCCACAAAATATGCTCTCATAACCATCCATGATAAAGGTACTACCACTATTAGGAGGTAAAATCTTCAATTCGTAATATTGTTGAGTACAACTACCGCTAAACAACCAGAGATCAATTTACATGACATATTATGAATCGCATATCGAGACTACTTAAAATATATTCATCTTGTATAATACAGAAAGTCCAGGGACAAGATTTTACTTAAAAAAGAAGATTAATCGTCAATTATTTCATGTGTGCCATTTGTAATTATTAAACCTTTAATTTTATGGAGTCTGCTATAATATTTTCTAAAAGTTAACCTCCTCATTACCCTCTTTTGCTATTAAAATCATGTTTGAATCATTAACTTACTATGACTTGTAACTTGATCGTTTAGCAAACGTCCCATTAATACTTTTTAACCTTCCAATTTTGTCCATTGCGGGTCGAAAGTTCGGGCATATTTCCAAAAAGGTTCCATCATAATTTTTTCTTTAAATAATTTCTTTGAAAACAACAAATCGTTCCCTCCGAAGCTTTTATAAATAAATTTCATTAAAAATACCAGCGCCTCGGCAGAATGAATTTTTTAAATATATCATGTCTACATAAGGCCGGACAAATAAAATATTTAGATTCTCGTGACATAAAATCTTAAAAATGATGCGGGCGCGCGAGGGTTATCATATGATACGTAATACAAAATTTGTCTCACACCATCTGATAATTTATGTGTATAGCGATCATTTTTTCACATTTTAACAACAATCATTAATAATGACTATGAAAGTGAGCTTTTTGAAAAAAGTTAAAGTTAATAACAGTCATCTCCGATGAAATTCCTTATTATTCATCTGGTTTATTTGAAGATATTTGTTTTCAATGTGGATAAATTCCCGAAGAGAATGATGGAGAAAAGGGGCATTATCATTATTGTAATGAATGCTATATCACAGTTGCTAATAAGAAAAGAAATAGGAAAGTCAAATCCGAATAGATGAATAGTTTCTAAATAAAAACATTTATTATAAAATTTTTATTTTGATTTTTTGAAAAATTGACTCGTGCGGGTTATGAGAATCTAAATATTTTATTTGCCCGGCCTAACATCTCTCTCTTAATAAGACATTTTTTTTTAAAAAAAAAAACTTTAAAAACTTCCTCGTAGCATGCATTTCTTAAAAAAAAATCCTCCTCATAGCACCGATGCGTAATTTGTTCAAAAGTTATATTCTTTAGTGAATTATTATTCCTGATTTTAAGTTTGAATTCTTTTCGGAACGCCATTTGTTCTTTATCGTTATGCATGCTTGGTTTTTTCTAACGTAATCGGGTGCAAAGTTCTATAAAGGGTTCATTACCGTATGACTTCACTAAAACTATTATCTAAATCCATTTATTATAGGATGAAAAAATTGATTGGAGGCAATAACCGATAGTTTAAAACTTTTTATTTTACTTTCTAATATTCTTTTTTTTTTTTTTTTTTAGAGAACCGGTGATGTCTATCTTTATACATTGGATTGCCCTGAAATTAGCATTTCGCCGCCGCTGCTACAATTTTATTCTAGTTTTATTTTAACCATGAAAAAAAACCCCCGCAAATAGAAGATATTAAAAATTTTAAATTTTAAATTTACTATCTGAGATTCTTATTAAATAATATAATGAATGATTAATAAATTTTTATACACTAAAAAAAATTTTCTCGCGATGAAATTAATATAGGCTTTTGTTCGATATGGCATGCCGCGTAATACAGTGGTGGTATTTATCTACGCTTATTAACGTCATTTCGGCACTAAATATTCACATTTATAATCCAGACACGTGTGCATTTTTTCGTAATCCAAATAAAGTTGATATATTTGTTGGAAAACAACTTTTTGGAATTTATACTTTTTTTTTTTTAGATAGGTATTCATTAAAAAATTAAAATAAAAAATGCTATCCGAAACTCTTCAATATCGTTCAAAGGAACACTTTTTGATCATTCGAGAGATTTTCGTTCGTATAAAAGAGCTAATTCACAGCATCCAATTCTAAAGTAAGCGTTATTAATTAATAAATCAAACCATTATGTCTTAATTTGATAAAGAAAAAAAGAAAAATTGGGAATGCGGCATGGATTTTAAAGAAAATTGCAATAAATTTCATAAACCCTTTAAATTTGCTTTATATAATGTATTCTCATTTGTTAAAATTGCCGTAGTGACAATGTTTGATATTAGCGACCTTGCTTCAGGAAAGTAAGAGTTGTTTTATTGAGACTCGAAATTACTTTGCATTATCAATTAACAAAAATAACAAGTTAGAAATAAGGCATTTAAATATCTTTTTAAAAATTTAGAAAATTACAAAGGTCATAAGATAGAAATAAATTTTATGATTAAAATATTTAACAATATGCCATATTTTAAAACCGGTGTTAGCTTCTTTCTACCCTATGATAAATTGTGAAAAACATATCAAGTTAGTAATTTTACCTACTCCGCAAGTTCACTTTGAACGAAAAGAAAGTTATTTACGTTTTTGTAAAAAATTAATTTAATTTCACTTTTTTTTAAAAAATATCCGGAATTGTCCGGGCATGACAAATTGAACTAGGAATTTATTCGTAGAAATTAGTTTATGGATGATTTTCCCCAAAAATTTAATTTCTAAACATTTATTTTCCATACAACTAAACAAATCGGGTTATTAATAAACTTTGAAATTTATCATCTCAAAAATAATGCCACAACTAAAAAATTCAAACCTTAAAAAAAAAAGTCATTCATGCTGTAAAAACCAATAAAAGATTTTTTTTTTCTATGTAAAAAGCGGATTTACCTTAATCAGATGCCCATATGATAATGAGCAACAATAAAATGATATATGATCCGATTTGTCGGAAAAAATTTATGCCGATATTAATTACGGATCTGATAACTTAATTTGTCAAAATTATCAGATTTACTTTAGGAGAAAAATAAAATTTTTATTTTCCTCCAATTCTTTATAAGACACTTTCGTCTTCATCCACTGAATTGAATTCTAAAATCACTTCTTACACATCAAAGAAAAAATTTGACCTTTATAATGTCACTTGAGTTATCAGAAGAAGAAAGATTTGGTAATGATCATCATGGAAATAACGAACTGGATAAAGACTCGTCATTAATAGAAAATGAAAGTTTTGAAAAAGAGAGACCTTGGAAATATAAAATAATTGCTTTGATATGCGTTTTGTCTTTAGCTCGTAAGTCTATCTATTAGGAAATTCAAGTGCTTTATCTTTTTTTAATCATGTGAATTTATTAGTGGGAAGTCATTACTCGGCTCATACTCTTGACGCCTTAAAATCGACCATCAAAACGGTAAGACATTTAGTAATCAAAATTAAATGAATGTCTTTTAATAAATTTTATTTTAATTAAGGAATTAGGCATTCCAAATTCAAAATATGGAGTCATTCAGTCATCAGTATCATTGGTTAATACAATTCTACCTATTCTTGGTGGAATATTTCTTGATACATTTGGCACATTAGTTGGTTCAGTATTGGCAACTTCTCTTATAGCTATAGGAAATATATTAGTAGCATTATCGACTGATTTAAAATCATTTGCTGTAATGGTCATCGGTAGAATATTATATGGAATTGGAAGTGGTACCATTGTTATCGTACAACTGACTATTCTAAGTCATTGGTTCAAAGGAAAAGGACTGGGCATTGCTGTGGGAATTCAGATTGCTGTGTCAAGATTGGTATGTAAAAAAACGCATTGTAATTTATTATACGTTTCGTATTTTTTATTTTATTTTATTTTATTTTTTAAAAAAGTCATCCTTTTTGGCCATTATAACGGTTAATCCAATAACAAAGAGTACAGGATCATATAAATGGGCATTTTGGGTATGATAATAGTAGCATTTATTGAATTATTGTGACTTTGAAATAATTCGTTCTTTACTTTAAGTTTGCGGCAAGCCTCTGTATCTTTTCATTGATAATCAACCTCGCTTACGTTCTTTTGATGAAATTCCTTCATGAGAGGGTAAAAACCCAAGAATTATTGAAGATAAAACAAAAGAAACAGTTTAATCCTAAAAAATTATTGATTTTTCCTGCTATTTATTGGATCATTGTTTCACTTGAATTTGTGTTGGGTAGTGTGTGGACTTCATTTTTAACAATCAATACGTAAATGTTCAACCAACCCATTTACCTAGTAGTAACGTGATTCAAAATGCAAAATCTAATTTATATTTATATTACAGGGAATTGGTAAAGATTCGATGGAACCATACGGATATAAACGCAGCTTACAAATCAAGTATTTCTCAATTATTCCCAATATTTATTTCACCTTTCCTTGGATTTTTTTTAGATCGTTTTGGAAATCGTTCCTTGACATGTAAGGATTAAGGGTTTAATTTTATTATCATTACTTGTTATGTGAGCTAATCCGTTTCCTTTCTCTCCAAATGTTAGTGGTTGGTTCCGCAGTATTTCTCGTTATATCAATGTGTCTCCTTGGATTCACATTAGTTACTCCGATAATTGGAATGGTTTTTTTTTCAATTTCACTTTCGTTAGGACCAGTTGTATCATTATCATCAATACCAATAATATTACCTTTAGATTATGTTGGTACCGCATTAGGTCTACTTAAATCAAGTTCAAACATTGGATCAACAATTGATGATATACTAGTAGGATTATTACAAGATTTGGACAAGGGAAAGTACGATATGGTTATGATATTTTACTTGATCAGCAGTATAATAGCCGTAATAGTAGCTATCGGCTTATTTTTTGTTTCAAAAAATTGGTGCGATGGGATAATGGATATGAAGGAGCGTGAAAGGAAATGTTATTATGAAGAAAAACATGAAGTTTGTGATCAAGTAAGGCTTGTTGGAAAACACGGCGTAATGAATTATCTTTTTATAAGCAGTCTTGTTTGTGCTTTAATTTCAAGTTGGATTTTATTTTTCATTTTTGTATTTAAATAAGTAATTTATTTATCGAAGGAATTCGTTTATAAATTATATATCCAGTGGCGCTCAAAAGTATTGCATCACTCGAATACAAATTTTAAAATAGCATTATCTTGTGATTAAGAAGGCGCAGCGTTACCAAAATTATTTATTATACTCGTCATAACGAGTCTATTCAATGGCATTGAAATCGTTGCGTAGTAATGTAATAAAAAATTTTTTAAATACTTGATTTTGATCATTTACGCGATCCTTTTCTTTTGATAGATATTTTATTAAAAATTTATGTAAATAAAAAAAAAATAAAACTTAACCCAATTGCATTAGAACTTTGGTAAATAATTATCTACCATTTTGTATAACCACCATTAGCTTTAATTATATCATTTTTATGAGTTGGCATAGTATCAACCAACTTTTTGCATACATCGGACTCCAATTCAACCCAAATTTTTTGAATTGCATCCCACAACTGATCCTGTGTTCTAACAGGTATTTCAATCCATCTCAGATAACGATCCATAGGTGTTCTATTGGGTTTAAGTAGGGAACTGTACTGACCAAGATCTTTAACCCTATTGTCCTCAAACCATTACTTAGTAAGATTTGCAGTGTGTTTAGGATCATTATCTTTCATATGCGAGCTGAGTTATCAAAAGTGGGTTACGAGACTAGTAAATTGATTTTGAGTAATTGATTCTCAAAAAAATGATAAATAGCTCTTTTACAAAATAGATGATAATAATTATAATAATATCTTTGCTACTTAAAAAATAATCTATTACTGATAATATTAACATTAAAGAGAAACAGCGGGTTATTACGTCACAATAAATATAACTAGTCAATAGAATCGAATTAATTAATAAGATGATACAATAATTTTATATATATAGCATTTTATTATAATAATTATTTTTATAAATATTAAATTTATTTTAAAAATAATATAATGATAAAATATCTAACATTTTGCTATTAAAACTGTCTTGCACAAATATTGTTACATCAATTTCGTAATACTTGAGATTTTGCTATTAAAACCATACTTCAAAGCATTATAATACTATTAATATTACAGGTGGATCGTCCCATATAAAGATAAGGTTACACAATTAAGAAAATCTTTTTTTATACAGTTTATAGTAATTTTTTGAGGGATTGCATAACCTTTTACCATCATCAAATTTATTAAGCAATCTTGAAGTATTCATACCATACTAACATATATATTTTTTTAATCTTCAGTAATCCCACAACTTTATTATTACCATTTACCTACCAAAGTTATGTCTGTGATAAAGCAATGTTCAAAATGCCAAACTACAAAGATGACTAAATTTCGTTCTTTAAAGGAAGAAAAGTGGAAAGAAGCTAAACACAATGATTTAGTAAAGATAACATGAAAGGAAGGTATACTTTTATGTAACATCTGTTATATCAATTTTGTAAAAAATCTTTTAAAAAAAGGTTACAAGTGAGTAAGATTGAAAGAAATATTACATGTGAGGAGGGAATAAGTACAAATATTGATTTCTTTAGAGCTATCAAGGTGATAGCAAAAACTTTTATGAGATAGAATGTTACAAGAAAGAGGAATCCATATATTTATTCAATGAAATGCAAAAAAATTTTCAAGAAATCAAATCGAATTTGAAAGATTATTTTGATAGGCTGTATTTGGCAACTAGACAAACTACTTGAATATAACAAAAAATGATAGACTGTATGAAAAAAATTGATGGTTTTTATATGTTATCTACTCATATTACTAAATAATACTAAAGTTAATTCATTTAAATTGATCTAAGGTTTTATTTGAATTTAGTAAGTATAAATAATAAAAGTCTGAATATAATAGTTAATATTGCGTATTTATATTATCAAAGTTTAATAGATCACAAAAAGAAAAAATGCCTGATAAGCATAGTAAATATATAAAAAGTTCTTACAAATCATTCAGGAAATTCATTTGTTCTAAATATAGATAATTATCATAATATTCATATTCTGAAATAATCTGATACTACTAGTACATCTTAAGCGGTATATATAGTAAATATGTATTTAAAACTCGCAATATTCAAATAGAGCAATTAATCTAAGAATTATTGATGCTAAATTGATTATTAAACATTTTAAAGAACAATTCATAGTAAACTCTAGGTGTTTTATATCAAGATCGTAGGTGGGATAGAGTAGAGTAAATTGTTCTGATAATGAGATTATTGATAGATTGATGATTTATAGTTATAATGATAGACTAGTAGAAAAAAAAGTAATCAGCATATACAAAATACTATTCTCATTGATTTTGTTGAAAATGACTTGAAAGGCATATACAGATATAATAAAAATCTTCAGATCATATATAATCAAGAGCTGATGCAAGTGTACTTTTCTAACCATGCTATTCTTATTGTTTCAGATTAGCCTATACTGGATGAAATCAAAAAAAATCAGACATATAATAAATTATTTATCAATCGTCTGTTAATCAGACATAATGATCAATCAGCCAAAAATTAACCTAAATTAACATGTTTGATTTATGATTGATTGAACTTAAGCCAAAATTTCAATTCTAATTGGTCTAATTAGATAATGCAAAAATTATCTGATTGGAAACTTCGTTCTAAAGGAATAATAGAAATTATTTTTAAGAGAAGATACAAATCGTTTCTAAGAAATGATAAAGATAACCATTTCTTTTAGAATATATATTATCACTCAATAAGAATGATTTAAAAATATCATTTCAAAAGGATGATATATTATTATTCAAAAATGATGATTTAAAAATATCATTCCAAAGGGATGATACATTATCATTCAAGATGATAATTTAAAAATCATTCCTTTGAAACAATACATCATCATTCTTATTGAACAATCAAAAATATATTTCCTTTGGGACGATAAATCTATTGTTTTAATAAGAATGATTAAAAATTATTCTTTTGGGATGATAAATCATTATTCTTATTGAATGATCAAAAAATCATCCTAAAGGAAAGATATATTATCATTCAAGAAGAATAATTTAAAAAATCATCCTTTTGAGACGATAAATCATCGTTCAATAAGAATAATTTATAAAATTATCTCAAAGGAATGATAAATCTATCATTTAATAAGAATGATTAAAAGAAAAATCATTCTAAAAGAACAATACATCATTGTTCTTATTGAACAATTAAAAGAAAAATCATCCCAAAAAAATGATACATTATCATTCAAGAAGAACAATTAAAATTATCTCAAAGAGATGATAGATTATTATTCTTATTAAACAATCAAAAAAATCATCCCTTTAGGATGATAAATCATCATTCAATATGAACGATTTATAAATTATCCTAAAGAGACAATAGATCTATTATTCAATAAGAATGATTAAAATCGTCTCTTTGAAATGATACATCATCATTCTTATTGAATGATTAAAAGAAAAATCATCCTAAAAAGACAATACATTATCATTCTAATTGAACAATCTAAAAAAAATCGTCCCTTTGGAATAATACATCATTATTTAATAAGAAAATTTTAAAAAAATCATTCTAAAGTGATGATAGATCTATCATTCAATAAGAATGATTTATAAAATTATTCCTTTAGGATGATATATTATCATTCAAGAAGAATAATTTAAAAAATCATCCCAAAGAAATGATAGATCTATTATTCAATAAGAATGATTAAAAATCATTCTAAAGATTCGATAGATCTATTATTTAATAAGAACGATTTATAAAATTTTCCCTTTGAAACATATATTATCATTCTTATTGAACAATCAAAAAATCATTCCTTTGGAATGATACATTATCATTCAAGAAGAACAATTTAAAAAAATCATCTTAAAGGGATGATAAATTTATCATTTAATAAGAACAATTAAAAAGCATCCTAAAGGAACGATAGATCTATTGTTTTTATTGAACAATCTAAAAAAATCATTCCTTTAGAATAATAAATCATCATTCAATAAGAATAATTTAAAAAAATCATCCCAAAAGGATAATAGACATCGTTCTTATTAAGCAATCAAAAATCATCCCAAAGGGATGATGCATTATCATTCCTTTGAAACAATACATTATCATTCGATAAGAATAATAAAAATTATTCAAATCAAATGATTTCAATATCGTTTCAATCAGATGATGCAAAAAGATCTGATTGGAATGATCAAATCATCATTCCTTCAGGATGATACAATATCATTTGATAAGAACAATATAAAGAATCATTCTAATTGAAAAAATATAAAACCATCCAATTGGTCAATAAATATCAGATTAATCACCATTTTCTATTACATTATAAAACTGATAAACTTTCAGATTTATTCAAAAAATTTTTCTTTTTTATCTTTTTCCTTCTTTTTTCTATATTTTTTTAGAAATATTATCATCTTAAAAGATTTTTATCATTTTTCTTTATTTTTTTAGGAAAATTCTCATTTCAGCAATAAGATAAGTCATTCAGATGTGACTTTTGGGGTGGGAATTTACCATTTTCCTTTTTTTTTTTAAGAAAATTCTCATTTTAGAAATCAGTTGCATGTGACTTACATAATATAATTATATTATGTAAGTCACATGCAACTTGCGTTAGGTCATGAAAGTGACTTCATAATCTGTCAGTAACTTCATATCATAATTGTAACTTCATAGTCTACTAGTAACTTCATAACACAGTGGTAACCTCGTAATCTGCTGGTAACTTCATAATATAATGGTGATTTCATAATCTAATTTCACGATCTGGTAGTAACTTTATAACCTACATTCGTAATCTGATAGTGGACTTCATAATCTACTTATGGGTAGCTTCTTTGTGTTTTTTACATTGTTTTATTCGTTTCCTTTATAATATAGTGGTGATTTCATAGTCTAATAGTGGATAGTCTTGTTTTATATTAATGGTGATGACATAATCTAATAATTATTGCTTTCTTCTTGTTCCTGATTCATTTACATGTTAAATTCTATATTGTTGATTTTGGCTTTCCATGCTTGTTTGGATGCCTGGTTTCATGTTGAGGATACTGGCCTTCTGAGCCTGTTTGGTGGCCTGTTAAGATATCGAGTATGCTTCTTTTTTGCACCTATTTGGTTGTCTATTAAAATGCTAAATTGTGATAAAAAAAGAGGTGACAGTGGCATGGTATATTTTCTTATAATGATAATCAGCCATAAAAGTCTGATCTGCCGTAACGATCTTGAAACACAATTATCTCGACATCTACCAGCCAATTTTAATGAGAATTGAACTACTGGATTCAGTAGGTTCTGATCTATCCAACCAGCCTAAATTCGTATAAATCTGATCAGTAGATGTCGAAATATTATCCTTCAAAGTTCGGGCAAAAAAATATATACTCTATATTATGTTTTAGCCAATTAGATCGCCCGAATATAA